AAATCACATTCGTAAAATGCAAGCCAGTTTCTCATGGGATTGGGGGCCTGCTTTTCCCTCAATTGGCATTTGGTAATAAGCAATAAATTATCTTACAGTATATTTTGTTTTATTCTTATCGTCTACATTTTTACTGGTATAACTCGAGAAAATTGCAGGAGAGATGTTGAATTGATTCCTGTAAATGATATATTGATTAATGACATTATGACTGATATACGTAATGAGAATAATGCCTGGAGCATCTTCGTTACAATATTTTTCGAAGTAACGCAAAGCAAAGACGAAGAATTCAGTTGTCATATAATGTCGATATTGCATATTTCGCAGAGCAAACTTATTAGCAATACCAGCGAGATTGTACTTGACGCAAGTAGGAAGTACATAAATGTTAACATTTCACTCATCGTGCCTGTAGTAAGTGCTAACAATTATTATTAACAATTGAAATCTTAAATTCCAACACGGTACAAAGCGGATCTTTTGGTGCTTTATCTATATAATATTAGTGTGAATCTTACAATTTTTTGTTCGTATAACACCACGTGGCCACAAATCGCGTGTTTGTTCGCAGCTCCGAACCGAGTAATATGTAATAAATACAAAATTATCTTTTTAAAAAAGAGGTAAAAAAAATGCCAAGTATACGCGTCCTCCGTACAAATGTTTCGCTATCAAAAATTAGCGCCAAAAATTTGTAGTTGTTAGTAAAATAAAATAAATTTAAAAAAATTAAGTGGTATATATTACTTGTAAAAGAAATACATATTATAAAATAATTTTCTAAAAAAAGAAAAAAGGCGTTAAATATATAATGCTACTTGAACAAAAAAATTATTGTACTAAATTTTAAAAAAGTGATATGTATTAGTAATATGTACTAGTGATATTAATCAATAAATGGCGCCAAGTTACAATCCCATAAAAATTACGTAATCTTGCCCAAACCAAGTATCATTTGTATAAAAGGTTTGATATCAAAAACTGGCGCTAAGTTATGATTCCATAAAAATTACGTTTCATTACTCAATCACTTCAAGTCATATGTATATGACTTGTACAAAATATTTGATATCAATAGATCGGAA